CTGGTACTGACATATAGACAAAGAGATCAATGTACAAAACTGGACCTGGAACTGTACACACAATTAACACTATCATTTTTTTTTTACAAAAGTTCTCAGAATACTCAATAAGGGAAAACTTTTTAAAGGAAACTATGTTGCAATGTGATACTCTTATGCAAAATGTCCCCATGGCCTAACAAAACTCCAGGAAAAAACCAAGCAGAAACCAAACTGCATGCTTAATCAAGAAAGTAGTGACATAAAACAGTTGGAAGGCTTTGGTTTTCTACTTACCTACAATCCACCCCTCCCCAGCTAGACTCCTAGTCATTTTAAATCAGCAGCAAACGACATGCTCAGAAAGGGTGACTGGTTGCTATTCTAGAGGAAACAGAAGATATTTTATTTGCAAATTATATTGTGTGTCTGCTCTGTCCTGTCTAGGACTTCCTGAAAGACCAAAGCAAGGTGTTTGTCCTGGTCTAGCCTGCCATGCAAGGTGAGAAAAAAAGAGCACTGGGAAATAATGTAAAGTGCTAATTAAGTGTAGCTTCCTGGATAGAAAAATAGATCATCTCCTAACACGTGATTTACTGCCTCTTAAAACCCACTGGAGGGTCAGCTATGGATCAGTTCTGACTCAATGGTATACAACAACAAGCGTACGTAATAGGTACCTAAAAACTTGAAGGAGAGGCTTAGGTGGAACTTCTTTCAGAAAGCAGTACTTTATTTTTATTATTATTATTTATTTTACAGAAAGTTTACAGAAAAGTTGGATTTTCATTCATTCATTGTTACACATTTTCCTCTCTAATCCCTCCCTAGTGACCTTAAAAAAAATTCATCCAGAAAGCAATAATTTCAAAAGAGCGTTGTAAATAGGAAACTTGAGAAACATGCTCTGAAACTATCTGAGGAAACAGTATAGTGCACCTTCTGCTGACACCTAGGTCAGTGCAAGCCTAGCTAAGCAAGGTATTTGCAACATCTGGAGAATGTTTTTAATGTACCCAGACATTTAAGGATATCTATGTCAAAAAACTAGCTAAATCCTAGTTAGGGAACAGAGACAAGAAAGACTTCAGTGCTCACAGATATACATAAATGCAATCTTTGCAAAATGTAGTTAAAGGAAAGTAGAGAAACAAAAAGGCAAATGCAACAATTAAAACAATACAAAGGGGGGAGCATAGAAAACACAGGGGAACAAGAAGTCAGAGGTGGTGGTTGTTAGGTGCCATTGAGTCGCTCGTGACTCATACCGACCCTACATACAATAGCTCTGGAACCTGCTCAATCCTGTGCCAATTTGGTCTCTGACACACCTACCATCATCATTACCCTAGTCAATGAATCAATCCATCTCACTGAGGGTCGTCTTCTCTTGCACTGTCCCTCTACCCTTCCAAATATGATGTCCCTCTCCAAGAACTGGTTCCTCCTTTGCAACATTCCTCAATCCTTGTCTCCAAGGAGCAGTCTGATTTCACCCTCTCCAGGATGAACCTGTTTGTTCTCCTGGCACAGCATGGTATATTCAGTACTATTCTCTAGCACCACAGCTCAAAGGCATCAATTCTCTATCATTCCTAGTCATTGTCCAGCTTTCTGATGCATAGCATGTAACTGAGAAGACCATGGCCTGGATCAGGTGCACCTTAGTCTCCAGACTGACGACACTGCTGTTCAGTACTCTGGGAGAGGTCTCTGACAGCAGACTTTCCCAATGCATTTCGTCTTCTGATTTCCTGGCTGCTGGTACCAAGAAGTGTTAATTGTGGTACCAAACAAACTAAAGCTATTAATCTCAGTCTCTACACCATCCATCACAAAGCTGGCAATTGGTCCAGTGGTGAGAATCTTTGTTTTTTTATATTGAGCTCCAATTCATACTGAAGGCTGCAGTCCTTGACCTTTTCTGTAGCAAGTGCTTCAGGTTCTCTTCAGTTTCAGCAAGCAGGGTTGTGTCATCTGCATAATGCAAGCTGTTGATGAGTATCCCTCCAAACCTGATGTCACATTCCTCCTCTGAGAGCCCAGCCTACCAGATGATCCGTTCTGCATACAGATTGAAAAGGTATGGAAATAGGACACATCCCTGGCATACACCCTTCCCGATTTTGAACCATGCAGTGTTCCCTTCCTCTGTTCTGATGACTGCCTCCTGGTCCAAGTATAGGTTTCAAGGAAGCACAATCAAGTGTTCTGGGATTCCCATTCCTCTCAGAGTCAGCCACAGTTGTTGTGAACCACAAAATCAAATGCCTTTGCATAGTCAAGAAACAAGAGATAGACATTCCTCTGGTACTCTGTTCTCAGCCAAGATCCACCTAACATTAGCTATTATATCCCTAGTACCATGGCCTCTTCTAAACCCAGCCTGCACATCTGGCAGTTGATGTGCAGTTCCCAGTTGTTTTGGGATAATTTTCAGCAGAATTTTGCTTGCATGTGATATTAATGATATTGTCCAATAATTTCCACATTCTGTATTTCTTTGGAATGGGAATAAATATGGATCTCTTCCAGTCAGTTGGCCAGGTGGCTGTCCTCCACATTTCTTGACACAACTCGGTGAGCACATGAAGGGCAGCATCTGTTTGTTGAAATATATCATTTGGTATAATCCTGGGGCCTTGTTTTTCACCAGTTCTTTCAGAGCAGCTTGAACTTCTTCATCACCACAAGCTCTTGCTCATATGGTGTTTCATGAAATTATTTGCCAGCCAATTCCTTTTGGTACAATCTATATGTGGAACAGATCACCCAGGAGGCTGGGCTCTATGAGGAGGAGTGTGGTGGCATCAGGATTAGAGGAAGACTCATCAACAACCTGTGTTATGCAGATGACAGAACCTTTCTTATCAAAAGTGAAGAAGGCTTGAAGAAGCACTTACTGTAGAAGATAAAAGACAATAGACTTCAATATGGAATGTATCTTAAAATCAATAATCCAAAGAAAAAAAATGAAATAAAAATTAATCTTCACCACTGGACCAACAGACAAGACTATGAATGATGGAGAAAAGACTGGAGTTGTCAATAATTTCCTTTTACTTATATCTACAATCACCACCTAAGGTTGGCAGCAGTCAAGAAGACAGAGATATTCTGGACTGGGAAAATCTGCTGCCAAAGACCTTACCAAAGTTCTACAGTATAACAATGTCAGATTAAAGACTAATGTGGCTCTGATGCAAGTCACAGTACTTTCAATTGTTTCATATGCAGATGAAGGTTGGACAACGAATAAAAGCAGCATGAAGAAGAATCGATGTTTTTGAATTGTGTTGGAGAAAAGTACTGAATGATTTCATGGACTGCCAAAAGGTTGACAAGTCTGTCTGCGATGTGCAAGCAGGGTAATCCTTAGAGGCAAAGATGGTGACATTTTATCTCACATATGCTGTCAGAATTGAAAAAGAGATCATGCTGGGAAAAGCAGACAGTCATTAAAATAAAGGGAAGACCTTCAACTAGATAGACTGACGCAATGACTCTAACGATGGGCTTGAGCACATTGGAGATCATAATGGCACAGGAAAGGACAGGGTTCAATCTGTTCACAGGTTCTCTACGGGTCCTAGTTGACTTCTTGGGCAGGTAACAAACAAAAGCCCCTTAATCTATGAGATAATAAATTTGATTGATAAAGCCATTCACTCTGTGTATTACAGCAGCACTATATAACCGAGAAAACCTTAAGTGAGATGGACAAAGTGGCTACAATAGGCTCTCACATAGCAATGACTATGATGAGAGGTGGAACTAACCCAACAGTCCCTAACAATACCAACAATAGTGGATTTGGGAGAACAAAGGTGGTTCAGCAGTAGAATTCTTGCCTTCCACTAGGAGACTCAGTACATAGTCATCACCCACTTGTTAGTGAGGCCTCAGGTACTGCCATGATGCCCAACATATTTAAGAAGAGTTTCCAGACCAAAACAGATTAGGAAAAAAGATCTGATAATCTACTTCCAAAAACTAGCCAAAGAAGACCATGTCACAGTAGTCTGATTATCAAGCAACCATGGGAGTGGTGCTGACCAGGTATTTGATCCTGTTGTGCACTGTCCTGCCATGAGGTAGGGGTCAACTTGAAGGCAGCTAGTAATAGCAAAAAGTAGGCTGGAAACCCAGACCAACAAAAGCTAAGGTTATAATAATATACGCCCTAGAATACTTGGATTTAAGCTATTAAAGCAAATGCATGAAAAAGAGAAAATGGACTCAGAGGTTTCAACAGTAAAATCTCAAAATAGTAATATTCAACCTAAATTTACTGAGTAATTATTTTAAAAGCATTAACATAAAAAATAGTTCACTTTCGGAATTAAAAGATCCACAACACCATGCAGAGCTATTCTTGTAAACTAAAACAAAAAGGCATATAATACATTAATAACATGCTAACTTACTGAAAGTTCACATTAGTAACAACATTCATCCTATCCTGGAACTATTTATTTGTACATATTAACACACTACTTTTTTAACTGAACACAATGAAGTTAACAGCTGGACCCTTTTAGTCATACAGTGTTAGAAAAAAAGTTTATAAAAATAACTGAGATTATCATGGCTCCTCATAAATTAATTTACAGCAAAATTCTCTGTATGCTAGAATTACATGCTACCTTTATGTCTCTTTAAATTTTTGTTTCTACCGGTGGTTGATATGAAACATTGTTCACTAACTTCCACAAATGTGACAAAATCAATTTATAATGCTAATCATATCCACTGTCATTGAGTCAATTCAGACCCACAGCAATCCCGTAACAACAAAGTAGAGCTGTTTCTAGTTTCCAATGCTTTAAATATTCATCAAAGCAGATTGCTCCATCTTTTTCCCACAAAGCAACAGATGAGTTCAAACCACTGCAAGCAGTTGAGGTGCTTTAACCGACTATGTAACCGAAGTACCAAGCGGTAAATACAGTTGAGTGAGCTACAGAGTAGGGCCTCTTAAAACAGTTGAAAACAGAAATGATAAAAAGAGCTTCACTTACTGCTATTTCTCTGCATGCTGACATAGAGATCCCAGTTCCTTCTATTTGTTTTAAAGCATAGTCTTTATCATCTTTCCTGTAAAAACAAAACTATTTTTAATATATAGATGAAAGATTTTTGTGCATTCTTAATAAAGTAAAATGTAAACAAATAAAAGTCATATTTACTATGCAGTTTTGATACCTTTCACAGATGATCACACAATAAAAAATATAATCCCAGGGGAGCTCTGGTGGCCTAGTGGCAAGAAGCTGCAACTACAATCCCAGAGGTGCACGGTTCGAATCCACCAGGTGCTCTGCCAGGGAAGGAGGGGCCATCTCCTCCTGTACCAGTCAGATCTGATTTGACGGTACACGCATACAAAAATTAAAAAAATAAATAAAT